AGAATAGTGTGGGGACACCAGACCTTGAGCAGAAACCCACTTCCCCTTCGGCCTGGCAGCAGGCAGCTGTGTAATGTTTACTGAAAACAATTCAGTGCTTTAAAGCTCTTGATAGGGCTCAGATAAGGGCTAGCTCACTGAGATACCATGACTTTCACACCCTCTACGGCTAGATGCCTCTTCCTGTCCCCCCTGCGGTGTCTCCCCGATTCTGGGGCCAGAGATTAAACCACCAGCCAGGAGGGTGAGAAGTCTGGAAAGAATTGTATGTAGATGGATGGCAGAAGTCCTTAAAAAGGGAAGCGTTTTTTTCTTGGAGAGACTTCTCCTGAGAGCTCTCTCCTAAGCGGACTGGGGTCTCCTCCTAAGCTGACTTGGGAAGCATAAAGTTTTCTTAAAGCAACCGACCGGTCTCTGTGTCATCTATCCCGACCACCTCGCTACATTCTCGGATGCAGGCCGCACAGCAGGTGCAACAGAATAGTATCAAGATTTTTAAAGATATGTTTTATTTTTTACTTTATGTGTGTTTTTGCCTGCATATTTGCCTGTGTGTAGTGCCAGCTGGATCCAGATTCCCTAGGATCTGGAGTTACAGGCAGTTGTTAGAGGTCATATCGGTTCTGGGAATCCAACCCAGGTCCTCTGGAAGAGCAGTTAGAGCTAAGAACCGATGAACCATCATCTCTGCAGCCCCCAGTGGAAATATTTTATTCCTGCAAAAAGAAGGCCCTTCTGTCCTGGGCATTTGATTTCATGATGTCCTTTTAGTTTTAAGAGGGGGAAGAATGTACTGAACCTTAGTGTCAAGCAGATCCTTGCGGATAAAAGCATCTGCAGGGGAACCCATCCATGTTTATTGAGTTTGCCACATGAAGCTTGCTGCTGGGGCATGCATCTGAGGAGTGACTGCAGGAGCCCACCTCACTGCGGTCACTTGGAAAGAGGCGAGCTAATGTCTCTAGCCCCCAATAACCAGACTCAACGAGGATCAAAGCAAATCCTATAAAGACACACCAGGGGCATTGCTGCTCAGTTTGCTTTAACTTCAAATTGATTCTCCCATTGTAAAAAATAGTTTTAATACTTTAATACTAATGCTCTTTTAATGTTTACTGTCTAGCGGGTGATATTTTTATCTAAAGCCAAAAAAAAAAAAAGACCCACAAAACCCCATGCTGTCTTAAAAATGTACTTTAGCTCAAACGTAAACTTCTCAACCAATGGCTCCCCTGTGAATTTAAGTAAAGTAAGAGTGGTTATTATTCAGGGAGTAAAGCCTCAGTGGACATTAAGGAACCAACCCACCAAGCATGGCTTGTGCTAGGTACACTTTCTGGTCTACCACCTGCAGGAATGATGAAGGAAACCCTGGCCTCCACTTCTACTATAGAACTCTATCAGTTCCAAGAAGGGTCTCCAGCCCGCCACGTGCTTTTATGTAAAAAAAAATGCCTATGCCTTCCTAGGCCTCCGATGTTCCCCATAGGAGGATAATGCTCATAGGTCCTCTCTGCAGACCCCACTGTGTCCCCGCCCATTGCCCAGCTCGTGTCTCCTTCCAACTGGACTCCACCATGGTCACGCGTTGGAATTCCCCAGGCGTTCAATGCCGTCCAGCTTGAGCACCATAGCCAAAGGTCTGCTCCTCCTCAGCACCATAGCATGCCAGCTCCTTCCCCGTGTCACCAAGAGGGTTCTGTCACGGTCGTTTCTGTTTTGTAGGAGAAACGTTCCATGACAAACACACCAAGAGTGAGAACTTCCCAGGGGCGGGGACTTAAGCAAATCCCTTTGTATTCAGCAAGGCCTACATGGTGCGCATGAGGGCCCAGGATGCCCCTCCACCCCTTCCCCTTCCCACCCAGCAGCTGTGTGTGGGCGTGGACGTGCCCATCACAACCAAGTCCCACTGGTGTTCAAGTCCCACGGACAGGAGGCTTGGCATGCTCGGAACCCCTTCCCCCACACCTGCCTATCCCTCAACGAAGATTCCGCAAGGGGCCCTGCTTAAGTGTGTTGACACACTTCAAATTGATAATTACTCTTAATTCTGGCATTCAAGAAGACACCGGCCATCCATGTCAGACCACTGATCTCACTTCACAAAATCCATTACTCACTAATTTTAGTGCCCCTCGCTTTCCCAGCATTAATTTGATCTCCTTCGTCCTTCAGTTTTGGCTTCAAGCTCAGTAGAATTCTGAGACATCTAGGTACTGTTGGATATTTTAAGTGCTTTGTCTCGGGGTGGGCTCTTGTGTCTTGCTGTACCCTTTATTCAGAACCGTAGTCCAATATGAATAACACAATAAGATTTCAACCAAAGCATTTCACCAAGGATTATATGTGTCACCAGGTGTAGGGGTGAGCCCACAATATAGTCCACATGCTTCCTTTGATCCTCACCTGTGCCCATCCCTTGTCCATGCCCCCTTTGGGTATGGACTCTTATTGTGGGCTCACGCCTACAATCAGTAGTGACAGTCCCCATGAATTACTGTCCAGGAAGGATATACCCCCCTCTTCACCCAGATGATACTTTGCCTAGCTCTGGGAGGTCCCTACATCCTAGCCAGACTTCTAGAAGGAGGTATTCCTAAAGGGTCTATCCTGGTTTATCATATGACAGCCCTTCAGGACTAGGGCTGCTAGGAGCAGGTGCTGCCTTCTGTTTCTTTAAAAGGACAGTTTCAGGGAGGCCATTTTTCCATTCCTTTTTTTTGTAATGCTTTTATTTAAATTAGAAACATGAATACTTCACATGTCAATCCCAGCTCCCTCTCCCACCCCTCCTCCCTTGTCCCTCCACCAGCCCCTCAGCCCCCCACTCAATCCCCACATCATTCCCCAGGGAAGGTGACACCCTCCTTGGGGGTATCTCTAAAGCCTGTCATTTCATCCAGGGCAGGACCTAGGCCCTTCCCCATGTGTCCAGGCTGACAGAGCATCCCTCTATTTGGAATGGGCTCCCAAAGATCATTCATAAACCATGGTAAACACTGATCTTCTACCCAAGGCCCCAGTGATTTCTGTGGCCTCCTCACTGGCACTACATTCATGGAGTCTGGATCAGTCCCCTGTTGGCCTCTCAGGCATCAGTCTCTGCTTCCATCAGTCACTGGATGAAGGTTCTAGGATGGCATATAAGTTAGTCATCAACCTTATCATCAGGGAGGGGCATTTAGTGTAGTCTCTCTGCTATTGCTTAGTTTGCCAGTTGGTTTTATCCTTGTGTATCTCTGGAGATCTCACTAGTGTCAGCTCTCTCCTCAAGCCTATAATGACTCCCTCTATTACGGCATCTCTCATCCTGCTCTCCTCTATCCTTACCTCAACTCAATCTCCCTCCTCCCCCATACCTTCTTCTCCCCTCCTCTTAAACCCCTCTCTTTTTCCTGGCTCAGGGAGGCCATTTTTAAGCTCATGTCCCAGGTCAACCCTTCATCACACCAAGGAAGGATCCAGTAGCACACGGTCTGTGCGGAGCCTGAGTCTCCCACCTTCAAGGCTCCTGAGCCAGAGCTGACGGAGGGCCCTCTGTGAGAACTAAGCCGCCATCCTTCTCCTGGAGCCGGGGAGAGTACAGTTACATAATCAAATAACTTTTGGCTGAATATTTGATACTGCAGAGCATGGAGCTTCTTCAGGGTTTCCAGATTTGGTCAATACTTTGATTTTTATAATTGCCAAGGTCAAGACATAAATGCATAGTTGAAAGGAGCAGAAGTATGTTTAGAATCACATCGGGAATTGTTGGTAATGCTATCCTAATCCAAGCCAAAATTTTCTTTAACAATTTTATTTGAAGGTCAAGTCAGCAACTCAAACAGCATTTTTTTAAACAAAAATTTAAGCATTCTAGTATAATTCAATCCAATTCTGTACTTATCTGAGATCTCCATGCTGAGGAATGACAGTAGGGAAATATATTTTTTTTAATCTTCGTTTTCTATAACAAACCCACGATTAAATAAGAGCAGAAAACTTCTCATGTGGAGTGAAAACACCATACTTCATGACACAAAACTGTCCCCAGCATGAGCTCCGTTGTGTGGAATGACCAATATGGGGCCCGTGGTAAAAGAAGCTGGCTGCTGGGGGGGTGGGGTGGAAAAAATGCATCCCTAACACCCACATGGAGACTCAACCATCTATATAACCTAATTCCAAGAGACCCAGCACCCTTCCAGCATCCATGGACACCAAGCGCACACAAGGCACACACGCATACATACATGCAGGCAGAGCTCTGAGGTGCACAACACAAACCTGTTTTTAAGAAGAGAGAGGAAGCTCGGTAATAAAGGACAGCAAAATAGAAAGACAAGAGCAGGCATTAAACCAGTAAGGTGAGACTCACACCTCAAAGCCTGTTGAAGGACAGCCAGATAGGCTGCCTTAAGGAGGAAGCCGTTCTCCGTGGAACCACCTACCGGGAATGCAACATGCATGGGTGCATTTTTCTTTTCTTCAGATCTAGGGCTCTCAGTTGTAGGAGGCAAGAGACTGTACATTTGAAAGCCAGTACTGAACAATAAAAGATCAGTCTAACCTTTCATATTTTAAAGAGAAGGTAATCGTAGGCAATCAAGACTGAAGAGTGTGTGTATGTGTGTGTGTGTGTGTGTGTGTGCTTTACCTATGATTTAGTGTGTCCTTTAAGGTCTCTCTCTCTCTCTCACACACACAAACACACACACACACACACACACACACACCAATAAAGCTCTGGCTGCCGGTGAGTATCTATGCAGGCATCTTATAACAATTTTTTTCAGCCCAGCATTCTTGAATTAATGCTAATGAAAGCTGCCGCCCTGGCCTTATTTTTCTATATGAACACTGGAATTGCAGCTGCCTGCCAAGCTGCTGAAGGATGAGTGTAATAATTTTCAATTGGCCTCTTCGCCCAAAGGGAGCCCGATAGCGGGAGATTGGCAGATGCAGTGTGGATTATCTTGTGCACTGAGCTCAGCCCAATTTGTGATTTGTTGCAGGTGCTAAAGAGATTGATATCGCAGCGACCCTGGAGCACTTGAGGGACCAGAGACCAGGCATGGTCCAGACAAAGGTACTGTCAATCAATCCTCCAGGACTTTAAATGTATTAAAGGTGCCTCTGTGCATGATTTTCCTGAGAGCAGAGAAGGGGATGAAGCCGGACTTACATAAGCCACACACAATAGCTCTGGCCCGGGTGGGCATCATCCAAGGCACAGGGGATGCTCCCAAAAGGTTGGCTGCTATTCAGGGAGCCACTCAAATGCTTTCAGCATCTGAGATTCAGTTAGACCCAACCGGTTGAAACCCAATCTCTTACTCTCTACCAGGTTTAGCAGGGGGGGGCGCGAGGGGGGCATCACATGACATGTCAGAAGGTGTATGGGCTGAGGGTAGAATTCAGGGCTTCAGGCATGCTGGACAGGCATCCTAACCACTGAGCTGCACCTCCCGTCAAGAACTACATCTTTATGTAAACGACAAAACTACCCGGAAGGGCACCTCCAAACACTCCGTCTGCCTTCATCCCCAGCACCCTCAGCCACCACCCTAGTGCCGGGACTAAGGGCACCCACCGGACCACCGGGGTCTGAAGAGTAACCCAACCCTACCACAGAAAAACAAAAGCTTCTGTTTTCAAGCTCACAGAGTTAATTGTGTGTGGCTGACACAAGCCTCCCATGCTCTAGACGTCCCAGAAATGTCTGCCTCCAACGGCAAAACCCTCACCGACTGTCCCAAAGATGAATATTGACGTATCGCAGGCCACACAGATTATCCTCACTGTTGTGCGCTCCTGACCCCAGAGGCCACTGACTAACACCCACATACATGTGAAGCTGCCCTTATGAAATTATTACATCCTCTTACTTGTGTGTGGTGGGGAGAGCTGACTCAGATGTTAAAAAACATTGGCCACCCCTCCGGAGGACCCAGGTTCAATTCCCAGCACCCACACAGCAGCTCACAACTGTAACTCCAAGGGATCCGACACCCACCCTCCCATGCAAGCAAAACACCAATGCACATAAAGTAAAAACAAATAAATAATTAAAACTCTTACTTGGGCTATGGGAGCAAGGCTCCAGGGCCAGGTGCTTGCCTACCAGGTTTTTTTTTTGGGGGGGGGAGGTTCTATCCTTAGCACTGGAGGAAAAATCCTTCTGCTTATGGGCACCCCCGTGAGGTCAGTCTGGACAACACAATCCTGGGCCAGTTCTCATTCCCCAGTGCTAGACAACCCTGGGGTCCCTAGCTCCAGACACAAGTCTACCGGATCCCTCTGCAACACACGGCAATTGCCAAGGCCCCGCTTTCTGCTCAGGTGCTGAGAAGTTAAGACACCACAGCCTCTGCGAGAGAGGCACAGGGCCTGACGGCTCTGGACTGAGTACGTTTTAGACTGGGATATTATCTCCTAAATTCCTCCCTGAGTTGTCTGGCTGGGTCTCCTTGCCAATGTCAATGGGAGCACCTATGCAAGATCAACCTGACTCTCTTATGAGGTCACACAAGTGTTGCAAGCAGGAGAGCAAGGTCCCCTAAGGGACCTGGAGTTTCCCAACGGAAGCCTCAACTGCCGGGGCCTTCCTCCCTGGATGTGGACTCCGGCGGGGTCTCTGCTGCCTGGCTTGCTTTATTTCCCCTTGTGAGACGGGATATGATTGTGAAGGAACTTTGTAAACCACATCTTGTCTTTTCCTGGGTTCTTTTTTTTTTAAAGATTTATTTATTTATTACATATACAGTGTTCTGCCTACATACCAGAAGAGGGCACCAGATTGAATTGTAGATGGTTGTGAGCCACCATGTGGTTGCTGGGAGTTGAACTCAGGACCTCTGGAAGACCAGTCAGTGTTCGTAACCTCTGAGCCATCTCTCCAGCCCCTTTTCCTGGGTTCTTAATCTAAAAGTTTGAACTTAGTTTAGACTAAGTGGGGCTGGAGAGACAGCTCAGTGGTTAAGAGCACTTCCTGCTCTTACAGAGGACCTAGGTTTGATTGGTTCCCAAAACCCCCATCAGGTAGCTCAACAGAGTCTGTACATCCAGCTCAAGAGAATCCGACTCCCTCTTCTGGCTTCTATGGACACCGGCACGTATGTGCACATATATATACACACACACACATACACACACACACATACAAATTGAATCTTTTAAAATCAATTACAGAAATCATGCAGATAACACTCCAGGACCCCCCCTCAACTCAGATCCCACCAATATTTATAACCTTTTGTAACCACGATACAGTAATTAAAACCGGGGGTTACCCTTAGACCACCAAACTGAGCAGACCACAACCACACCTGTGCCTACCCATAACCTCTCGTAAGAATGGTCACTCCAGAATGGCCCAGTGTGGGACATCCCCTCCCCGCATCCCTTCCGGTCTATGATAGGCTAGCGATCCATAAACCATCTGTCATCAGGGCCAAGTTCCTCAGACATCCCTTGGTGACACGTCAGGCAGGACCATCTGGAGGTATGTTTCCTCCCAGAGCACACAGCTCCGGTTGCCTACCACTATCATAAAAATGTGTCTGCCGGTCTCCCCACTGACAAGCGAGAGCTTCCCCCGCCCCCATAATTGTTCAGGGTCCTGTGGGAGAAACCTCAGTGTCCTGGGGCCTTGTGTATGTCTGTCACTGCCTAGAGATGTGTCACAGGACAGCGGCTGTTAGTGACAAGTGACCCACAGTTTTTTGTTTGTTTGTTTTTGTTTTCTTGCCCTGGGAAAGAGGGGCTGCCCAGCTGTGAGAGGTCAGGCTGGGCACCACCCTGCAGCAAGGTAGCTCAGAACAGAGCAGAGGCTGGTAATGATAGGGTGGTCAGGGACACTTTCACCCAGGAGCACAACATGAATCCTGCCTCCAGGCCACACTCTGCTTCGGAGAAGTCCACTGGAAATACCAGCCAGTCTCTAATGTCCGTGCCGACTGTGAACCTTACAGATCCCTTTTCCCCACCAGACAGCTCAGCATCCCCATCCACACCAATCCAAGGGAAAGCACACCCAGAAGCAGGGGAAACGCCCAACACATCACAGGAAGAAAGCCATTCAGCTCTCAGATATCGGTATCTTGCTGCCGAAGCCTGCTTGATGAAGTCCAAAGTCAGTCCCCTGCACCAGCCCAAGCTTCATCAGAGCTTTGGGGCAATGGGCGATTACTGTAGGGACGACTATAGCATTACTGATTATTAACAATTATACTGGCTACTACCTCGGAGTGTGCATTCAACTCCACCCAGTGTCGGCAGCGGATGACTCTAAATCCCGCAGCACGCGCCAGCCCCCGCTGCCAGCTCGCAGGGAGACACAAGACTCAGGGACCAAGTCTACCCAAGTGGCCTGCTCTCTGGTGGACGATGACAAGATTAGTTTAGTCCCCTCCCCTCAGCCTGCATGTCCAGAGAGGGAAACCTGCTCCCGTGTCCGTGGCAACACAAACGTCACCGCCCTTCCACATTTATGGCGGCCCCTTCCCCAACCCCTGCAGATTCAGGACACTGAGCTCCCTCTCTGGACTTTAGTTTTGGCAAAAACAGGAAAACTCACCCAAGGCCGAACAGCACCATGCTGTCTAACACTCCTCATGCAAAGCTGAAAGCGGGTCACGGCAATTCAGCTGGCGTGAAAGCACTTGGTCAGGCCAGGCCCACACCATTTGGGCCAGAGGAAAGGTAAGGGCCATTGATTGATGGACACTGCCCGAGAGCCTGGATGGGCTAGAGACTCCTGAAGGCACGTTCTCTTTGTTAGAGGGAGTTGAAGGGTAACAGCTTTTCTCACCGGAATGCAGGCCAGTCACACACACACACACACACACACACACACACACACACACACACACACAGGAAACAGCTAACTAACTAACGGACGCCTGCCCGAACAGCATGGGCAAGAGATGAGACACCAGGACACCCAAAGGCTTGGCTGCCTCTGAGGATGTAGCCGGGGTTTAAGACAGGAGCTCCAATAAGGTGCCCCCTTCTATGTGACCGTGAATTCACCGCACGTACACACACACACACATAGGTCAGCCACTGCTGGTTCTGCCAGGGACAAAAGGAGCCAACCTTGAAGAAGGGAGCAAGGTGGCAGGGAGCCCTACAACACACACAGTGAATCCAGGCAGGGCTCAGGCCAGGCCTTACCTCAGCTGTGTCTGTCACGGGGACACAACCTCCCCTCCCCAGGGCCAGGGTGAGTTGCCATAGTAACTAAAGGCTCTGACCCTTTCCTTCCTTCCCGTGGGCTTGGTTGAGTTTGTTTCTTGTTATTAGTGTAGGGTAACTGTGTGTGTGTGTGTGTGCGTGCATGCGTGCATGCGTGCGTGCGTGCGTGCGTGCGTGTGTGTGTGTGTGTGTGTGTGAGAGAGAGAGAGAGAGTGTGTGTGTGTGTGTGTGTGAAGGAAAGGCTTCCTTGGGGTGATCCTGCACCCCGAAGTACTTTCTGCATGTTCACCCCGCTCTCTTCCTCCTTTTTAGTTTTACATCCTGTTTTGGTTTGTTTGGTTTTGTTCCCCCCCCCACTATGGACAAAAGCGTGTAATGCTTCTCCTTGTGAGAGATGATGATTCAGGCAGGTGTATCTGGGTCATAGCCAGAAGCGACCCCAACCCACTCTCTCTTACGTCCTAGGGTATGGAAGCTTGTCCGTTCCCTGTCTCCCTCTCCCTGTGTCTGTCTGTCTGCCTACCCTTTGTTTTCTCTCTCTCTCTCATTGCCCCCTTTCTCTCCCTCCCCTTTCTCAGAACTGCTGTTCGTTCTTCTCCATCTGTCTCTCCTTATCCTGTCTGTCTGTCTTGCTATGATCCTATTTCTCCATCTGTCCAACTCGGTCCCCTCCCTACCGGTTCATACACCCCTCTCCTGGCTCCCGTCCTCACAGCTCCAGACTAGTCTGTCATTGTGAAGAGGGCTGCGGTGACATGGAAAGACACTGGGTCTTAGGTCCCCTTCAAGCACCTCCTGGGGAAGCAACCCCCCGTGACCTCCCAAAGGGCATGAAGACCTCGGGGTTGTGGGTACTGGCATCACACTTCACTGAAGTTTTCGTTGGGATGACAGTTGTCACAGCAGCCACCCAAGCAGAAGGATTCCAGTGTAAGGACAGGTACAGATGAGCATCGGTCCCCTCGCCCCGCAGCCTCCAGACCACTGCAGCCCAGGAAACACATGGTATCCAAGGGCGCGGCCACTCCACAGGAGCACTCTCTCCTTCCCGGCCAGCTCAGCCGGCCCCACACAAGTCTCCTTCCACACCACAGGCCGGCCTGGTGAGGGGTATTTCTCCCTACCCAGCAAAGACTTGGCTGCAACCTGAGCTTCTCCAGGTGTGGGGACAAACTGGGAGAGACCACAGGATCGGCTTTCTGCAAGCAGGACCCTTTGCTCAGAATAACTCATTGCCCTTTCCAATTCCCCTGCTGCCGTGTGCCCAGCTGACACTGGGCAACACTTGGTCCCTCCTGCTCTGGCAACTCGTCACCCAACACGCGTTTTATCCTCCACCTGCAGCTTCCGCTGTGTTTTTTTTTTAAAACAATGTTTTGCTGAATATAGATTCCTATTGCAAATGCACTTTCCTTTCTGGACCCCAACCCCCCCCCGGGAGGTCAGGTGAGGCCACTCCAATTTTGGGCACAGCCATGGGTCATGGATGCATACCAGTGAGCCCAGTGTTTGGCAGACAAGAGTCAGAAAGATGGTAAGTTCAAGGCTGGCCTGAAATAGAGTCAGTTACAGGCTTTGCAGCCCCCAAACCCAAGAGGCACAACCTAGGTCGACAAACCCAAGAGCCCTCCCTCCTGACGACCCTGTTTCCTAAGCAGCTTCACGGAGGCTTGCACTCTGGTGGGAAGAGACCTCCTCTCACTCACCATCCCTTCTCACCCCCGTCTCTTCCTCAGGAGCAGTTTGAGTTCGCACTGACAGCGGTGGCCGAGGAGGTGAATGCCATACTGAAGGCCCTTCCCCAGTAGGCACTGAAGCAGGAAGCCGGAGCTGGCGGGACCCCGCCGTGAATGCTGCTAGGACCGACCGTAACCAGATATCCCTCCTGCATCTTCCGTGTAGTAGCAGGGTCCTTCGGACTCCGTGGTCAGGGCAGGCGGCTAGTCGTTGTGTACTTTTGTTTGTTTCACCTAAATAGCAGATGTGTGGGGACACCCAGCTGAGAAGGGAGGAGAGACTCGGCTCTCGGCCCTCGACGGAAGTTCCTCTTCCCTAAAGCACACGTTCACATTCGCCGTGCCAACGACACAGTAGTTGGAAATCCGCCGTGGCCTCCTTGGGAGCGTGCTTACCATCTGTAAGCCGCCGGAGATTGGGGTGGATGGACCAGGACAGCCAGAAAGACACCTGTTGGGGGAAACACAGGGTGTAGGAACACATTTGACGTTTTGCCTGTAAGTGGGTCTCATTATCAGGAGAAATCTCTGGGTAAGAGAGCAGCGTCCTGGTCCTGCACCCCTGGGACATAGGACAAGGGTATCATCATGCCGAAGTTCTACCCATTCCTCCTAATGTCGTTCTACCTATACCTCCAGCACAGTGATTAATCATGTCCGCCCCACGCAGATTCCAAGGCCAGGAAAGAAAGGTCTCCCAAGGGCAGACACCTTACGGCTCCTGGAGTGCGGGCACTGTTTCTGCCCCAAAAGCGGGAACCCGGGTGATAGCCTCACCCTTACACCCTTGCCAAGTTATAGAAGAGCCCAGCCCCGAAAGGCACTTTTAACACTAAGATTACGGTTTCTGCATTACAAGAACAGGTGCCCACTGAGGATGGTACTTAGGAAGCTCCGAGGGTCCCCGGGGAGTAAGTGCTCCCCCTCCCTGCATCACCCGGGGAAGCACCCCAATGTAACTGGCATCAGAAAAGAAGTCTTGGATGCTCCTACCCCTGGGAAGAAGGCCGGGAAGCCCCTTCGGCTCTGCTTCCTCCGGCCTCCCAGACAGACGACTTAATGAAATGTGTGCTTACCCGATGATCCCAATTGCCAAAACATTTGGGCATGGCGCTTACCACCTCCTCCCTCCCCCACCCCCACACACATTAGGAAGAAGCCACTTGAATAAGTGCAAGGCTTTGGTACTCAGAAAGGTAGAGGGCGCTGCTGTAAGCCCCAGTTTGTAGGGTGGAGTATGAAAAGGCCTGTCTCCTCTGGTGTCTCCCCATCGCTGCTCCCCTCCACCCCCAGCCTGTTTGCGTTGTGGCGAGGAAAAGCGGGCCGCCGAGCGGGAAAGCTATGCCGCAGTGCCGTCCTGTGTCCGGTTTTATTGTGTACCTGCCTAACATCTCTGACATCATCTCTCTTCCGAGTGATTCCCCCCCTCCCCCACTATCTGGAATCTAAATAATCATCAGTAGAAATGAATTTATCTGACTATAGGAAGCATATACCTAATCGTAACTCCTTACGTTTAAAGGAAATCCTTAGCGTGATATAAAGATATATTTAATTGTGTCATATTAAACCTTCTGATTTCATATTCGATGGTCTTCATTTGGGTTTTGTCCCGCGGGCGCCTTCCGTTTCCAGAAGACATAAATCCAAATTTGGCCCCTTCTAGGGAAGGCCAAGGGACACCACTGCCCTATCTTCTACCCTAGCTACATACCCAGGGTTCTTTTACTCCTTAAAAGGCACTGAGCAACTGATATCCATAGCCAGAGGTCTGAGGTGCCGCCTGGGGGGCATGTTGGTGCCCGAGGGCCATGCTGCCACAGGGGTCATGCCGATCTGGCCAGACTGGACCACCACCTGGGACCATGGTGGCACCCAGATCCAGACTGCTACCAAGGACCATGTCTGGGCCCGTGATCCTATCACAGCGGAATCTGTATCGATGTCTGTGACCCACGTTGCCACCAAAAACCATACAGATGCCTGGGGTCTCGGCTGCAACCTATGTCCTTGAGGGTGTTTGTTCAAGGGCCATGGTGTCATCCAGGCAGGGCTGCTGCCAAGGGCTGGATCCCGTGGCCTTGCAGCAGCCATGGTCTGAGTTGATGTCCGGGGCTCATGTTACCACCAAGGTCTGAGCAGATGACCTGGGGTCTGGTTAGCCACCTAAGACCATGCTGGTGTCTGAGGACCATGCTGCTTCAGGCGCCACACTGATCCAGGTGGCCGTTGTTGCCACCTGAGGTCATGAAGACATCCACGTCCCGGCTTCCGCCAAAAGCCAAGCCTGGGTCCATGGTCCTACTGCAGCTGGGGTTTGGGATGATGTCCATGGTCTGTGTTAGCATGGGGGGGGTCATTGGAACCATGCTGAGCCATCCCCACCCTTTACCAGCCCTGGGATAGTTGGCCGTGCCTCTGTTGGATACTGCAGAAGGAGAGCTGACAGCCCCTCTCCCCCAGTAAAGATGGCCCCATCCCTCACCACAGGTATGCACCTCACCTGGGCAGCACACTAGAGCTGACCCTGTTGTCAGGGACACAGGTGAGCCAGCCATGAGGGTGTGAGAGCAATAAAGCTCCCCCTCCCCTCCTTCCCGCGCCATCATATACCCCCTACAGTAATCAGAAGAGAGGGCCCTGCACCTCTCCTGAGCAAAACAGTAGAACTGGCCATGGCGTTGTGAGTATGGGTGACCCAGCTCTGAGGACCCAAGGGCAGAGCTGGCCCGGTGACTTGCTGCAGGCTGCATTGGGTAAGCTAGCTGAGGCGGTGTGGAAGAGCTCACCCTGGGAGTGGTGATGAGGGAGAGCTGGTGTGCAGATCAACTCAGCTGCCACCCAGGCCCAGAACCAGGGCTGTGAGTTGGCCCACCAACACCTCATCTATGAACTGTTGGAGCCTGTGAAGGGGACGAGCCTACAGATCCAAAACAGCAAGGTCTCCACGCCACAGGACAACAGGATCTCCAAGAGGAGCCCCAGTGAGAGCCCATTACCAGCTGTGCAGCAGAAGCCAGAGGCGGCGAGCGTGACCAGTGACTCATGGCAGCGATCACCTAGGGTAAACGGACTGAAACTGTGTGCTGGGCCACACTACAGCTTCCATGACAAGATTCTGCTCTCTCTCTCTCTCTCTCTGTGATTTTTGGTTTTCCTTTTAAGTTTGGTTTTGTTTTGGGGAGGAGGTTTGCAAGGGCAGATGCAAGGGGACAGGAAGGTAAGTGGGTTGGGAATGCTGGATGTGAAATACACCAAGGATCAATAAAAGTTTTTCTTTAAGTTACTGAGCAATCACAGAGGGCTTCAGACCTCGCCTGGTTGGGTGCCCTGCTGTACTCTGCTCAAAGCCACCCCAAGCTCCCATCCAAGCTCTGCCTCACCGAGACTTCAGTCCCTGTCCACATCAGCTATACTAGTCTCCTGTGTCTCAGGAGAGCACTCCAGCATAGCTCCAGTTCTAGGGTTGGGGACAGACATGGCTGGGACAAGACTTCCTGGCTTCCTTTTCTTTCCTAAGAACAGTAGGTTGTTTTTTCTTAAATTAACTTTTTAGTTAATATATACAAGGCAATGAAATGAGTCTCATCATGGCAATTTCATGTGTGAACACACACACACACACACACCTACATTCCTCATATGAGAGAGAATGCATTGTCTCTGATTCTGGCTTATTTGCTTAACAAGGTCTCCTGTTCTATTCTTTTTCGTAAAAACTGCATAATTTTGTTTGAATGAAACACCAATGAGTGTATGTAATACATTTCTATTGGTTGATCATCTGGGCTGGATCCTATTACTAGCTGTGGTAAAACGTGCAACAATGTACGTGTATCCGTGTATCCCTATGCCACCCTGACTTAAAGTCCTTCAGGTGGGTGCCCAGGAGTGAGGGAGCTGGATATTAAGGAAGCTCTGTTTTTAGTTGAAGATTTCCATGGCTGCTACAGATTTCCCTCCACAGTTGCTACACTAGTTTATACTCCCAGCAACAGTGTGTGAGAGTTTCTCTCCCTCCAACTTTGCCAGCATTTGCTTTCCACTTTAAAAGGCACACTTATTTAATGAGTGGGTGCCTTTGCCTGCGTGAGTCTGTGTTCCATGTGCAGGCAGGAGCCCATGGAGGCCAGAAGATGGCATCAGATCCCTCGGAACTTGATTCATAGGCATTTACAAGCCACCGTGTGGGTGCTGGGAACAGCACTCTGCAAGAGACTGCTATTGTAACACCCTGGCCAGTTTGTCTCTGCGGCCCCCACTTGTTTTCCCGATGACTCATTCTGGCTGGGTAAGAAGGAAGCCGAGCAGTTTAGCAGGCTTTTCCTAACTTGATTTTGACTATTTTTCAAATGTTCCGTTTCTTTTGAGAACTCTCTGCCCACCTTTCCTTTATTAGTTAGATAATTTCGGCTTGTGAGCATTTAACTTTTTTTTAAAATCATCCTAGCTCTTAGTCTCCTGGAAGATACATTGTTGTCAGAGGTCGTCCTTTCTGTGGGCTGTCTCTTTACTCTGCTGACAGTTTCCTTTGCCATACAGAAAAGGTTTTAGCTTCCCACAATCCCATTTTTCAAGTTGCTGGGATTATTTCCTGTGTCACTGGGCCTTTAGTCTGTCTGGAATTGATTTCCTGCAGAGCCAGAGCTGTGGATCTAGTGTCATTCCTCCCTGTGGAATCCAGTTTCCCACTGGCATCCTTTGAAGAGACTGGGTTTCAATACACATCTAAAGACCTTTGTAAATAATGAGGTGCTTATGGATTGTAAGTTTGTCTCTAGCTCATCTGTTCTGTTCCACTGGTCTAAATGTTGCTTTCGTACCAGCCCCATGCTGATTTTGTTGCTATAGCTCTGCAGTGTGTGTGTGTGTGTGTATACATATATATATATATATATACATATATATATTTTTTAACATGTGGGGGGCATTTGTGAGCCACTTTATGTGTGGGCTGAGAACTGAGCCCTGATCCTCTGGGGCAGCATCAAGGATCTCTCCAGTCCTGCGTCATTTCAATCAGACATTGAGAATCTTCCAGCAGGTGATTCTTGGGATTGCATTGGCTATTGTGGGTATTGAGTGTTTCCATATGAAATTGTGGTGTGGTTTTTCTAGTTCGGTGAAGAAGGCTTTTCTTTTATGGGGCTTATTTTGCATCTATAGGTTGCTTTTAGTGATTTAGCCATCTTCACAGTGTTTATTCTGTTTATCCACCAGCAAATGTATATTGTTCCATCTTCCAGTGTCTTCAATTTATTTCTTAAATGTTTTTAAGTTTTCATTATGCAAGCATTAACTGTCCTTAGTGAGGTTTATCCTGAGGAATATTTTGGATTGTTTCTTTGTTTTGTTTTGTTTTTTGAGACAGGGTTTCTCTATTGTTTTGGAGGTTTTCCTGGAACTCGCTCTGTAGACAAGGCTGGCCTTGAACTCACAGAGATCCGCCTGCCTCTACCTCCTGAGTGCTGGGATTAAAGGTGTGTGCCACCAGCACCCAGGTGGATTGTTTTTTGTTTTTTTTTTTAAGCAATATGAATTTGATTTTTTTCCTGAGTTCTGGCACATTTATTGCTACTGCATAGGACACTTATTAGGATTTGTGTATTAATTTTGAAATCTGCCTCTCTGCTGGGAATGCTTATCCCATCTAAGAGTTTTTCTGGCGGACAGTTCAGGCTCCTTTAACAATAGGAAGGAACCTGCCGTCTGTATGTAGATATGATTATACTCTCTCATTTCCCCTTTGTGTCCCTTTCATTTCTTCTCGTTGCTCTTGCTAGGACTTTATGCGCCGTACTGAGTAAGAACAGAGGGGACACTCGGTGAATTTCTGATTTTAAAAGAAAAGTTTTCAGTTTTTCCTGCTTCACATGTAACATCAACACTCACACAATGTTGGCTATGGATTTCCTGTGCCAAAATGCCAAAGGTACATTTTAACGGAGGAGGAGGAGTGGGTTGCGGGGTGGGGACAGAGTGGGGCATGGAGGAGAGAGACGGAGAGGAGAGAAGGGAAACTGAGGCAGGGATGCAAAATAGATAGATAGATAGATTGATTGATAAATGGTGTTTTAAAAAATACATAGTTTAAAAGAAAAAAGTGGGACACAGCTTTCTAAAAAAAAATTAAGGAAAGGTGAACTGTTGGTACAGCTTCTTCCTGTGACTCTAAAATTAGAATGAGAGGTAGACCCAAGAGAGGGGGCCACCAGTTGGCTTGTGGGCTCTTCTGCTTCCTAGGAGTTACACCCGTGTTGAGGCTGTACCAAACGTGTGTCCTGTGCCTACCCCTGCTCTTTTACCTTCCTCTCAGTCGCTTTAACCCGGTAGCCTCCAGCGGCGGCTCCCAAAGCCACCGTAGCCCCTGGGGGGGGATAACAGACTTCTGTTCCCCCAGACAAGGGCTGCGTTGCTGCTGCTTTAATTAAATTGCTGGAGTTCCAACAGAGCTGAGATTCAAAGGCTAGGGTGGGAAAACCTGTGAGCTCAGAGAGTTCCAGAAGCAACTGCATAGCTTTCTCTCTTAGCTGGGAAACCTCTCTCATTCCGTACCACCCCAACTAAAACAAAACAAAAAAAAAATCACACTCTGATGCTCCTCCCGGCTCTTCCTGTCGACTAGTTGCCAACCCCGCCCCTCTGAGCCCAGGTTAATTTTATTTAATTAACACAAATGCAACACATCTTCACATAGTTAAACAAATGCTGCATAAACAAATGTAACACACCTTTGCCTAGTTAGCCCAATATTTCACGGCACACCGTAGCTGTCTTCACAGTAGTAACTTCCTTTGTGCACCAGGGACCCTGAGGGCCACACTTAAAACGTCTGTGGGGTTGGACATTTTACCACCCTCCTGAGACCTCCCCCTCCACCCCAGTTCATACCACCTGCGATAGCTAATGTTCTGGCTAAGGGGTGTTCCCCAAGCAAATTCAGAGTTGGGGAAGCAGCCAAGGCACTGAGAGCTGCATCCACCCTTTTTATACCCTGCTAGTGTTGCACACCCTCCAAGAGGATGAGGGCATGGGTATCTGTAGCCTGCTGGTGCTCTGAAGTTCCAAGTTTCTAAGACAATGAGTCTCAGGACATATTAGTGGTTCCAGAGTGCTGCGATAGTCCTGGAGCTATCGACTCATTCTGTTGATGGGATCTGCTCCCAGACACTCAGGATGGGGCAAGCTTTCCCCATGAGTACACTTCACTCCGCTGGCCAAGTCTCCTGCAACTGTGCCTTCTGGCTTTGTCAGCATTTGGTTCCTGCTCTCCACGACTTCTTCCCATTATCTGTCTCTCATCTCAGGGTTGGGCCAGGTTGACTTTACGCTTCCTGACTTGCAACTGTGCCCTGTCCTTCGACTCCCTGGGATGACAGTTTCAACTGATAGGTTCTCTGTGAACTGAGGAGAATGAAGAGTCCCTCCTCTCCACTACTGACCCTTCCTGCCAGGTCTCATCAAGGCCACGCCTCTGAGGTTCGCAAGACCTTGGAACTCTGGAGGTTGGGTCTTAAAGGGTTGAACTCGGAAGGTTGGAACTTGAAAACGTTGCAAGGTCTTCAGGTACCCTGAGGGTGGCTCTGCCCATCCCTTCTTCCCGTGGCCCCTGTTGTGGACCTTCTGGATGAGGTTTCTGATTCCCTTCCCCCATGATGAGGAGCTGTGAGGGCGGAGCTGGATGTGTGATCCACACCTTCCTGGGAGTTCCTCATGCCCCTTCACCCTTCGGAGTGGAGCCTGCTCTTTCTTATCCTGGGTCTTCTTCTTCACCCAGCACACGGAGGCGGCTTCTTTCTTCATTTGCCATTTTATTCTGGGTTTCTTTTCGTCTATCTCACGACGACGACTTACTTGGCCTAAAATAAGGGGGAGGAAAAATGAATGTCTAATGATTCAGTTCAGGGCAAAGTCAAATCATCTCTGAGACAGAGCCCACCCACCTCAGAGACCTCGCATTCATTTTTTTTTTTTTACGAGACAGGGTTTCTCTGTATTGTTTTGGAGGCTATCGGTCCAGCCTGGCCTCGAACTCACAAAGATCCACCTGCCTCTGCCTCCCGAGTGCTGGGATTAAAGGCATGCGCCACCACCGCCCGGCCTGGCATTCATTTCTTAAGCCTCCATTGCACCTTCCTCACAGCCCACTCTGATCATGTCCCAAGGGGACTCTTTGACCTGATTTTTCATCGGTACCTCCCAGCCGTTCAGCTTTTACAGCATCAATGACAGTGTCTTAATTACATTTCTATTGCTGTGACAAAAGCACCATTGTTGGGATGATCTTTTTATACGCAGTGTGATGACGTGTCTCTGTCATTCCTCACCAGCCTAAGGCACCTCCTGATTGGTTTAATAAAAATCCGAATGGCCAATATCTAGGCAGGAGAGGATAGGTGGGACCCCCAGGCAGACACTGGAACTCTGGGGAAGATTCTGAGGTTTGGGGAGGTGGGCAGACAATATGGAGGAGCTGTAGCAAGCCACGTGGCAGAACGTTGATAAATATAAGCAGGTCAATTTAAACTTTAAGAGCTAGTTGGGAAAAGCCTAAGCTAGGGCCAAGCTTTCATGGTTAGTAAAAGGTCTCTGCATTATTATTTAGCAGCTGGCAGTCCAAAGAAAGACCTGCTGTACACCATGGCCAAGGCAAGTTGTAAAATAAAGTATTTAGTAGGGCTTATGGTTTCAAAGGATTGGCAACCACAATGGCGCGGTGTCAGGAGCAACTGGGAGCTCACATTTTTGTTCACAAGCAGGAAGCAGAGAAAGTGCACTGGGAATGGTAGAAGCCCTTTGAAACTCCAAAGCTGCCTCCGGTGACACATCTCCTCCAGCAAAGCCATGCCTCCCAATCCTTCCCAAACAGTTCTACCAACTAGATATAAAAATATTGAAACATATTAATCTATAGGGGCCATTCTCAATCAAGCCACCCCAGGCTGTTAATCAAGTCATAGTCACAAAAGCTTCCCACTTAAGACAGCCACTTAAATGAAGCTTTAGCTCTAGAGTCAAGAGCAGTAAGGCAAGTCAAAAGGCCATGTTGAGACTCCACACCTACTGAGGGTGTTGAGGAATGCCAGACAGTGTTTAATATGTAGCCAACCTCCAAGCAAGCAGCCATCAGAAGGAAGTCAAACCAATGTGGGAGCAGCATCAGCACTGAGCCCCACAGGCCGGGCCCAAGCTTGGAGTTATAGAAACAGCTTCAAGTACAGTGTCCTGGTGGGCATTTTACAGCCAGCTCTAGAAACATACGGAGACTGCTGCGCCATTGTCAGCAGAACACAGAGACACCGTGACCACTGCAACTCTTCTAAAGGAAAACATTTAATTGGGGTTGGCTTACAGTTCAGAGTCTCAGTCCATTATCATAGTGACTGGACATGGCGGTGTGCAGGCAGGCATGGCTCTGGAGAAGGAACTGAGAGTCCTACATCTTGATGTAGAGGCAAACGGGGTGAACTGTCTCACTGGTCATAGCTTACGCATAGGAGACCTCACAGCCCACCCCCGCAGTGACACACTTCCTCCAACAAGGTCATACCTACTCCAACAAAGCCACAGCTCCTACTAGTGCCTCTACCTTTGGGGGCGAGTTTCTTTCAAACCACAACAGATACCTGATGAGGGATGATGTCCTTCTGTGTGTATATATATATATATATATATATATATATATATATATATATATGTGTGTGTGTGTGTGTGTGTGTGTGTGTGTGTGTGTGTGTGTGTCTTATTGGTTGATGAATAAGACACTGTTTGACCAATAGAGGCAGGAAGATAGACGGGACCAGGAGGCAAGGAGAATTCTGGGAAAGGCAGGCAGAGGGAGACCTTGAAGGATGACATGTAGCTGTGAAAGGAATTGCAGGCCTGGGCATTCTCCAGTAAGCCAAGACCATGTGTAAATACACAGATTTATAGGAATGAGTTAATAATTAAGGCAGAGTTAGCCAATAAGAAGCACTAGCCAACGGCCAACAGTTTTATAATTAACATAGCATCTGTGTGTTTATTTGGGGCTGAAGTGGTGGCGGGACCTGGAAGGGACAAGAAACTCCAGCAACAGATACCCACTAAGGGCTCCTGATGCTCACCACAGAAGTACCTGGTCACCGGTGCTCTGTGTCCTTGGACAGCTGTCTGCAACCAGGGAGGGCGCAGTTGCCCTCGAGAAACAGGCTCTGTGTGTATGCACTGAGGAGGCAAGGGGCCAGCAAAACCCAACCTGAACATGGCCTACTCAACGTGACGGGGCATGGGCTCCAATCCCGGAGACACAGGTCCTCCTTTTCTCTGTGTGTTCATTGGGAAAGACTCTACCACACACAGTAGTCTAGACATTCAGCAACACAAAGTCAACGCACCCCATACATGGTGTCTTCTGGCCCAGTGACAATGTAAATGATGCCTCTGTGGCCTTTTTAGAGGTTTTTCCAATATTGGGGCACAGCAGCGATATTACTAAGGCATGGCCACTACAAAAAAAAAAAAAAAAAAGAGTCAACAGTCAATGTAATTAGCAAATAGTATTCTTGTTAAGGCTGAGACACCAGATGTGAACTTCTTAAGCAAGGAAGCTCCTATGCTACCCTCTGGGGAACACCCCTGCCCTGTTCCTAATTCTCGGGGCTCTGGTTTTCCCAATGAACAGGAGCAAAGCCAGCCATGCAACCAATGACATCACACATGGAGAGTCACCACAGAGGCAGAGCATAAATGATTCTTGCTGGTCATCTGCAATAAAACCTTCTATTTTTTGTTTCAAAAACTTAGTGCTGTGAGTGCCAACATCAATGCAGCAAGCCTTTTCTCCTGTTGAGCATTCACTGGGTATCGATATAATTTTATCAGTCGGTGTAATTTAATTTCTAATAATAGCTGTACCTGACAACCAGCCTTCAGAAATCCCTAAAAGTCTAGCAACCATCGTAACGATGTGACCTGGATTAACCTTCCCTCCTTCAGGACTTGTGGTGGTTAGGTTTTTGTTTGCTTGTTTGTTGTTTTTGGTTTTTTTTGTTTGTTTGTTTTATAAACTCAACAGAAGCCCGTAGGGAGCCTCAATTGAAAATCTTCCTCCCATCAGATTGGCCTGTAGTCAAAGTCTGTGGGGCATTTTCTTGATAATGATGGATGTGGGAGGGCCATACCACACCTGGGCAGGTGGTCCAGGAATGTTTGACAAGAGTAGCTGAATGTGAACCATACACCAGTAAGCAGTGTCCCTCCATCATCTCTGCTTCTGTCCCTGCTCGAGCTCTGGCCCTGCTTTCCCTCATGGATGAATTCAGGGTAGGAGATGGAAGCCAACCCTCCAGGACCTAAGTAATGCCTTCTCGTGAAACTGTTGACATTCTTGGGGGGAAATGGTTGGGCACGGCTCCTGGCAAAAGCTAAAGTCCTATTTATAGTAACTGTCTGCATAGGCACAGAAAGCTACCCTAAGTGGCGCTGGGGTAGGGTGGACTGGATCTCCTCGGAAATTAAGCCCACCCACACGTGAGCATGTACGCATGCATAGGCATCCATCCTAAATGTGTCTATCTGCATGTTCTGAGTTTTGAGAGTATGGTTCAGTAAGCTCTCAATCTGGCCCGGTTGTGCCCAAACTATGAACCCCCAAAATCACCAAGAGACCCGATCCGATGCAAAAGCAAAGAGTCCTTAATTTTACGAGTTAACTCAGGTTCCCCCATCCATTCGACACAGCGGGTGAAGCAGGTGGGAACCAGGAGGAACCTCTCAAGCAGCGGTGGGGCAGCAAATTTATTGGGGTAGAACAAGGGGAGTGTCTGGGGTCCCCAACAGTCTCAGGATTGGTGCACTTCCGGACTCTGGGCAACCTGTCCTGAGTTGATTGGTCAGCTGCAGCTGCAGGTAGGTTGCTATGCTCTGCATTCCAGAGCCCACCGGCCAACTTCTGACTGGTTCCTTGCCACATGGAGAGCATCTGTCAGTTTATTCCCAGTAATTAGGGAAGGTCGGGAACTCAGCACTGTGCAGCTGAGCCAGGGACCTACGTCTTGCTGGGTCTTTCCTGCAGTCTGTCATGGCTGCCAAAGCAGGGGCCTGGGTGAGGGTCTGGGCCCTTCAGCCGTTGTAGGGTCACGCTTAACTCTATTGCCGCTGCTTCACCTACACCAGGAAGAAGCTTTCCCAACCTCTGGATGCCCAGTGTCACTCCCAGGTCTGGGCAATAGCTATAGCCTCGCTGAAGGTACAGCAGGTTCTCTCCCCGTGTTTGCCCGGGACTCTGGAGCATGGTGTCCAAGACACAGAAATACAGGGGTGTCTTTGAGAAGGACAGAAACTTTCTTAGGGAGCTAGGGTGCCAGGAACCACCCTGAACCAGCGGCTTACAAGCTCTTGCCCCTCGAATTCGAAGACTTCAATGGAGACAACAGAGGGAGAGTCTTAGAGGCTTGTTACAGAGTCACCGGAGGGGGAATCAAGAGAGAAAGAAAGAGGTGCTCACTTAGAAGACAGCAAAGACACAAAACCGAACTGCGTTCTGGCCTCCATCAAGAACACTGCAGAACTCCGGGCTTTCGGGCCGTGCTCTCCCTGGCCAATGTTCCATCATTCACACAAGCCCCTGCTGCTAGGCAGAACACCCTCCCGGAGACTGACAGCTCTCAGCACTCTTCCTCAACCCTCTGCAAGTCGAGAGCCACCGCTGCGACATAGGTTAGGGAGTTAACCTCCTAAAACCCAAGACATAAACTGACACTAAAAGTGTTGGGACCCCAGGCCTTACGCTGACCCCGCCCCCTGACAATGGGCGGGACACGCACACCGGCATTCAGGCAGACCCTTAGACAGCTCAAAGGACCCTGTGTTGCCTAGCTGCATTATGGCTACGTCGCCAGCGTTACAGGGCTGCGCAAGGACTCAGTATGGGTGTGCAAGCCTCCCCTTTTAAGAGAGCGCCTCCACGTGCTCGCCCCTTCTTCCTCCCCTTCCTCTCCCTCCTTCTCCCTACTTCCCCCTCCATCTCTGTTCCCCTGGTTTTAGCCAGCACCTATCCCTCCAATAAACTCCACATGGGTTTGTTGAGTCATGGGGTTCGCGGTTCCTTCCTTGCCCGTAACTGGAAGCCAACTGGAGCACCAGAATGTTCTGTCCAGACAGCACAAAAGGATGGAGGCTACTGTGCGGGGAGGCTTCGCACAGATAATTTACAAATTAAATGCTTTTTAATTTTTTAATGATTTCTTTTGTTTTCGAGATTATGATCACATCATCTCCTTCTCCCTTGCCTTCCCACGTTCCTTTGCTCTCCTTCCAATTTTAAAAACCTGACTGGCGCTCCCCTCCCCCCCCAACCCTCTTGTTCTCATGGCTTCTCTTGCTTTAGTATTTAAACACATGCAGAAGCCACCCGGATGCTCCTCCCCGTGGGGACTGAGAGCAATATTATAGGTAATCTGTGTTTTGTGCTTTATTAATCAAGTAGAACGCTAATAAAAAAAACTCTTCGTAATTAGTGGAGGAGTAGGCACTAATTCAAAGATGTTTATTGGAATAGAAAATTAGAATTTGATTACACCTTTGCTCCTGAACAATGGCTGGCTTCCACTTACCTTGCTGTCTGTTGAGAGGTTGGCCTTAGCTGTTTACGTTGCTCCGTTTTTATTAAACAAACCAGATGGTTTGTGTCATTTGTTTTTAGTTGAATGTGTTGATAAAAAAAAAAAGAATGCTACAGAGGTTTCTCTGGACACGTGTGCAATCCCTCCCCTGCGTTCTGGCCTCTGCTCTCTTCCTGGGATGATCTTGGGAACACGCAATCCTGTCACAGCAGGGCCACGGATGGGTCAGGGATGTGCACCTTTCAAGTCCACGCAGGGGCACATTCCCTGGAGTGAAGGGACACACGCTGAGATGAAGACCTTCTGCGTCTGTCTCCAGGCTCAGCTGTGCTGGAGCCTGGGTGCAGAACCAGCCGCTCCTCATGCTGTCAATGCTGGTGGCTTAGGGAAGTGATGGCTGACAGCTAGTCTCAAAAGATTTGCTGGAGAGCTGCTCCCAGGAGGCGGCCATCACAGGCAATGGGATACGGAAGGAGGTGGGGGCCTCGGAGGACAGGCTGGCCCTTTGCTTCCGCTTCGGAGGAAAGCCTGGACCTCAGGAGAGCCCGGAAGGTGGGAACCAGGCAGTATTGGGTCTTGGGAGGAGGAAACAATGCATTTGGAACTCTACTTAGACCTGTCTCAAAAAAAAAAAAAGAGAGAGAGAAAAGAAAGAAAGAAAGAAAGAAAGAAAGAAAGAAAGAAAGAAAGAAAGGCCATAAAAATCCAAACAAAAAAAGGAGGCATTCAGAGCCAGCCACAGAGAGCTGAGCATAGTGCCATCCATGGCTGCTCAGGGATTCAGCTCCCGGAACCTGGCGCTATGTGCATGAGGCCACACTCCACGCAAGGACGCCCTTCAGGAAAGGAACTGTGGAGTTCGCAACACGCCACTTGTAATTCAAACTCTCCTCTTCTTCCTGGATGGCTTCCCACGCCTGGCTTATTTCCTGAGATGGTTGCAAACCACTCTTTAGTAATAAGTGTCTAGTCCATCAAAAGGCTGGAAGTAACATTTCCTTGCACAGATGATGTTTATGCCAAGGCTTATCTGCATCAAACTGCCTGTTTAATAAACCTAGACACCCCATGGTTAGAAATCTTTCTCTTTTCGCCCCCACCTAGTCACAGCCGGAAGTCACCCGTCCATCCCTGGACGCCATAGGAGAATCTCATTCTGCAGTCCCTCTGCCTAACCCTCTGAGCCAATCTTTGATGGCTCCCAGGTCGTTCTCTCTGCCTACTTAGGACTCAGCCCTGTTCACTTGCAAGCCTAGGCCACTTCTGATCTGTAAAATGGGAGTTAAGAAGGCTGGATGGAGGCAGGTGTTCTGCCTGGGCTCAAGCCATGCCCGTGGGCTCAAGCCACGCCCGGTCATAAGATGGAGTGAATGCCTTGGTGACTTCTGAACCATTACGCTTGCCCCTGGTATCCCTCCTATTGGTGAAAGAGGTAACTAAACATGGCTGCTACGTGCAACAGGCCACCCGTGCATGCGTGCATGCATACGTGCATGCATTCTTAGGGGACAAGTGAGGTAGGGAGTAGGCTGGGCCTGGAGAAGAGTCCTCACAGAGGGAGGAGGGACCCGGAAGGAGAAACGCTTTGCCATGGGAAGCGTGGTCAACCAGGGACTTGGGGAGCCATCCTCTGCCTGCACTCTTTAAGCCGATTACAGGAGAAAGGGCGGGGACGTAGCAAGAAGAGAACATACTTGTCTTGAGCCTAACCAGAACCAGCTGGCGACTTGACCCCTACGCTTGCTTCCAGAGCTCACGCCGTGAGAAAATAAATGCCTACGGCTTCAGCTCTGTGCTGGGCACCCTTTGGGTAGTTGAGCCGCCTGGGACAGAGCACTTTGCTTTGGAGCAGGTTGAGTGCTCCCCCCCCCCATTCTCCCATATTCCTCCGCCTTCACCGGAGTTAAACTCTGGAGACAGCTGAGCTGGCCAGCCTGTGGCTAGGTCGTTCATTTCACCAGCCAGCTCATATTCCTGGGCACAGTGAAGGCCTCCTCCTGCAGACTCACTGACAGCTAGAGCTGGGAAGGAGAGGTAGTCAAGCCCCCAAATCCTATTCAAAGCTCGGGTCAGGAGGAGGTGCCCGGAGCACAGAGCAGTTGGTGGGGACGGAGCCTTGAGGGATGCCTAAAATCATACCCGGGTCTTCTCATCTCAACTCCTAGGCGCCGCCAGGAGATGGACAGCCGTGGTCGTGGCTGTGTCTAGAGGGCTCTCATACAAAAGGAAAGGGCAATGAAGCTTCCTTGAGGGCAACAGACGGCCCAAGGTGACTACCCCACGCTCAACACAAACGAATACACTTTGATGCCAGCACCAGAACCCTGTGCGCTTAACGGTTAAATGTGGATTTAGGAAGCACAGGAAAATCAAAGCTGCCGCCGCCTCCAATCCGGGTGTGAAGCCAACTCACAAAGCCTTAAACTGTGGTTGGAAACAGTCATTTCACCAAAACTGTCACACTCCTGTCGCCTGACCCGTGTGTCTTTCTCACCCTAGGGATGTTCAGGTAGGCAGCAGATGATCTCAGGGAGACACGGGTCACCTCAGGGAGACAGGTCATCTCAGGGAAACAAAGATCATCTCAGAGGATAAAGGTCCCCTCAGGGAGACACAGGTTACCTCAGAGAAGTCATAGGTCACCACAGGGAGACACAAGTCACATTAGGGAGACACAGGTAGCCACAGGAAGACACAGGTCACCTAGACACCCCATGGTTAGAAATCTTTCTCTTTTCGCCCCCACCTAGTCACAGCCGGAAGTCACCCGTCCATCCCTGGACGCCATAGGAGAATCTCATTCTGCAGTCCCTCTGCCTAACCCTCTGAGCCAATCTTTGGGAGGGAGACACATCACCTCAGGGAGACACAGGTCACCATAGGGACACATAGGTCACCTCAGGGAGACAAAGGTCATCTCAGAGGATGAAGGTCACCTCAGGGAGACACAGGTCACATTAGGGAGACACAGGTCACCTCAGAGAGTTACAGGTCACCCCAGGAAGACACAGATCACCTCAACAGTCACCACAAGGAGGGATGCACAGGTCACCTCAGGGAGAAACAGCTCACAATGGATTGATGGCAGACAGGAATTGACTGGGAGACAAGAGCATGAGGAGAAACACAAGGTCACGTAGGCCCCAGTGGCCATCTGATACCGAGGGTCCGAGCGGGCCGATGCAATGACCCAGCCTATAAACTCCACACACCTTAGGGATGAGCACCCACAGTTCCATCAGGACACAAGATATCTCCCGAACACAGCAACTGCTATAGCTCCATGCACACAGGTGACCAGCTACCATCCATCTGCAGGCAGACGCCCACCTGGGCACACAACCTCCTCAGGGTACACAATCCGAGCTGGTCCACTGAATAGTCAGTCATAGCTCACTATCAAGTCCGCCCGGGTTCCTGGAAGCAGAAGCTACCATTCTTTAAGAGCCCAACCGCAGCCGGGTGGTGGTGATGGCGCACGCTTTTAATCCCAGCACTTGGGAGGCAGGCGGATCTCTGTGAGTTCGAGGCCAGCCTGGTCTACAGAGCAAGTTCCAGGACAGCCAGGGCTGTTGCACAGAGAAAACTTGTCTCGAAAAACAAAACAAGCAAACGATGACAACAACAACAGAGTCCAATGACTGCCACAGTGACGGCAGTTGTGGGAACCTCAGACTTTATGTGAAAACCGGCTGTCAAAATTGTGCACGGAACAAAGATCAGGTTGACCACCCTCAGCCTCTGAATGCAACAGCCTGCGGTCAGCAAACACTTGTAGAACGAGGAGAGGCTAACGCCAAGCAGAAAATAGACCAGATGCTGTCAGAACCCTATTCTCTGGAAGAACAAAACTGTGCAAGGTGACTTAAGAGTTTTCCAGGGGAGGTCTGACCTTCCTGCATAGAAAAGGAGTTAGTATTATAAATCCTCTTTAAGAGTCTTATGTACATGGCTTGCCTTAGTTTTTACTATTAGTCTCTACACTTCATTACCCAGAAGTTAGGGACTCTTAGGAGAGGGGTTAATACATGTTCATGTGTGCACATATGTGTGGGTCCAGATGTCAGTGTTAGGTGTCACCAACTGGCCAACGACATCCGAAAGATTCTCCAGTCTGCCTCCCCCACCCTATAGTTACAAATGTGCGCCACCACTTGCCACTCCCAGCTTCCCATCGGGAGCTGGAATCTACTAGTTACACCTCACCTGTGTCTCCCACACATTTTTTCCTTTTCCTTGTGGGCCTTTTGAGACAGAGTGTTACTATGTAGCCCAGGTGCTCGAGAACACTTACATTTTAAGAGAGCAAAATAGAAGCTGAATACTAATTTTGCTGTTTCACAATTTTACAGACAAGAAAACCTCCAGATCTTTGTCCATGGGGACAGGGAAAAAAACAGTTTGCCTGCCTTCTTAAAAAAAATCTTGAATTAAAAAAATTTTTACTTTAAATTTTTTAATTTAATTTAAATTAAAAAATACGAATGTTTTAAAGCAAGCATGAGAAAGAAAAGGAAAGGATACAAGTAACCCAAGAGCGCAGGGTGTCAGCTGCTAAATAATGCTGTGACAGCTAGAACAAAACAAATGCATAGTAGCCGGGCGGTGGTGGCGCACTCCTTTAATCCCAGCACTCGGGAGGCAGAGGCAGGCAGATCTCTGTGAGTTTGAGACCGGACTGGTCCGACAGCCTCCAAAACAATTCAGAGAAACCCTGTCTCATAAAAAAATAAAATAAAAAATAAATAAAAACAAATGTATACTAAAGAGAAAATCTCATTCTCCCCATGCTTTTCTCCCTCCTACCCCCCCACCTTGTATCTGCCCTATGTCTGGCTTTTTTTGTTTATTTGTTTTTTAATCTTCAACATACAACCAGGCTCTGTCATGGAGCACTCCAGAAGGAAACAGAATTTGCACATTAGCTAAGGCCTTGGAAGTCCCCACTGCGGCTCCTTCCTCAGACAAAAGATGGAAGAGACCCGCAGGGGAATGGCTAAGTGGACCACATCTGCAGACCAGCGCCCACCAGCTTCAACACAAGCAGCACCCAGGATGATGGCCTCTGGGTGACAGTGTATGATCTTGAGGCAGAGGTCATCATCTTACAAATCATCTCACTTAGCAAGGCTACAAACTGTGCCAGCAAGCAGGCGCCCTATGCCTCGGTTCCCTGGCTTTTCTGATGGGGATGGGACAGGATACTTCAACAGAGGAGCCTACAGGCCGGGTGCCCCTGCCACCACCCCTCAGGACCCTAAGAGTTCACAGGCTGCCAATGCCACCCCCCTCACTGCAGGCAGTGCCAGCCTCCCTAGGAAAGAAGCAGTGACCATGGAGAGAACAATTACTCACAGGCCACTTCCCTGCTTGTCTGAGAGAGCGTCTTCCGGTTCGGGACTTAAAACTTGCATTTTGTAAGCACTTGTTTTAGAATCATTAGCTAAAATTAAGCCCTTGTTCACCGGCCTTTTTTTAGACAAGTAATTTTTAACTCTGCCATATGACAAGTCAGATTAATTTAAAAGTCATTCGTCACTTCCTCTGGTAGTGTACTGGCTGGCTTTGTGTGTCAGCGTGACACAAGCTAGCGTCATCAGAGAGGAAGGAGCCTCAGCTGAGGAAATGCCTCCCTCCATGAGATCCAGCTGTAAGGCATTTTCTCGATTATCGATCAACTGGGGAGGGTCCAGCCCGTGGTGTGTGGCACCATCCCTGGGTTGGTAGCCCTGCGTCCTGTGAGAAGGCAGTCTGGAACAAACCATGGGAGCAAGCCAGGAAGCAGCCTCCCTCCATGGCCTCTGCATCAGCTCCTGCCTCCAGGCTCCTGCCTCGCCTGAGTTCCTGTCCTGACTTCCTTCAGTGATGAACAGCAATGCTCAAGTATAAGATGAATAAACCCTTTCCTCCCTAACTTGCTTCCTTGTCAGGGTGTTTCGTCGTGGCAATAGAACCTCTAGCTGAGACACACAGAAAAAAAATAAAACCCTTGGTGGTGGCACTGGCCGCATGAGGTCTCTTACTCATGCCGAACGATAAACTGAGCAGATCCTCTAGGTAGAGAGCAGAGACAAGATGAGCCTGGCTGAGAAGTGAGGCTTGCGTACCTGCACGGAGAGGACCAGCAGACATCAGTGAGGTCATCCGGCAGGACACACACGTTTCTCCAAAGTTCAAAGTGAGCAACACACACACACACACACACTCACAGAGTTTCTCCTGCACCACCAGCCAAGTTGACCTAGCCAGTAGCCACAGGACACCCCAGCAGTACAGAGGCGCATGCTCAGCAAGACAGACCGCACGCTGGGCCAAAGATCAGTCTTGGTTACCTTAGAGGTATTTAAATGAGGGGGGGGTTGATCCTGATGATTTTCAACACCTGTGATGTCAAATTTAAGATAAAGTTGGTGGCTAAAGTATGGAGTGGCTCCAAGGAGGCAAAGCTCCTGATGACCAGATGGCTAAGAAGGGTAGAAGAGGGAAGCATCGGGGAAAAAGTGAGCTGGAGCCACCTGAAGGTCTCTTCATGTCTCTCTGATGTCACCTGAAGGTGTCTCCATGACTCTGTGATGTCACCTGAAGGTCTCTCCATGGCTCTGTGATGTCACCTGAAGGTGTCTCCATGGCTCTGTGATGTCACCTGAAGGTCTCTTCATGTCTCTCTGATGTCACCTGAAGGTGTCTCCATGACTCTGTGATGTCACCTGAAGGTCTCTCCATGGCTCTGTGATGTCACCTGAAGGTGTCTCCATGGCTCTCTGATGTCACCTGAAGGTGTCTCCATGGCTCTCTGATGTCACCTGAAGGTCTCTCCATGGCTCTGTGATGTCACCTAAAGGTGTCTCCATGACTCTGTGATGTCACCTGAAGGTCTCTCCCATGACTCTGTGATGTCACCTGAAGGTCTCTTCATGTCTCTCTGATGTCACCTGAAGGTGTCTCCATGACTCTGTGATGTCACCTGAAGGTCTCTCCATGGCTCTGTGATGTCACCTGAAGGTGTCTCCATGGCTCTGTGATGTCACCTGAAGGTCTCTTCATGTCTCTCTGATGTCACCTGAAGGTGTCTCCATGACTCTGTGATGTCACCTGAAGGTCTCTCCATGGCTCTGTGATGTCACCTGAAGGTGTCTCCATGGCTCTCTGATGTCACCTGAAGGTGTCTCCATGGCTCTCTGATGTCACCTGAAGGTCTCTCCATGGCTCTGTGATGTCACCTAAAGGTGTCTCCATGACTCTGTGATGTCACCTGAAGGTCTCTCCCATGACTCTGTGATGTCACCTGAAGGTCTCTTCATGTCTCTCTGATGTCACCTGAAGGTGTCTCCATGACTCTGTGATGTCACCTGAAGGTGTCTCCATGGCTCTCTGATGTCACCTGAAGGTCTCTCCATGGCTCTGTGATGTCACCTGAAGGTGTCTCCATGTCTCTGTGATGTCACCTGAAGGTGTCTCCATGGCTCTCTGATGTCACCTGAAAGTCTCTCCATGGCTCTGTGATGTCACCTGAAGGTCTCTCCATGGCTCTGTGATGTCACCTGAAGGTCTCTCCATGGCTCTGTGATGTCACCTGAAGGTCTCTCCATGGCTCTGTGATGTCACCTGGAGGTGTCTCCATGACTCTGTGATGTCACCTGAAGGTCTCTTCATGTCTCTCTGATGTCACCTGAAGGTGTCTCCATGGCTCTGTGATGTCACCTGAAGGTGTCTCCATGACTCTCTGATGTCACCTGAAGGTCTCTCCATGGCTCTGTGATGTCACCTGAAGGTGTCTCCATGGCTCTGTGATGTCACCTGAAGGTCTCTTCATGTCTCTCTGATGTCACCTGAAGGTGTCTCCATGACTCTGTGATGTCACCTGAAGGTCTCTCCATGGCTCTGTGATGTCACCTGAAGGTGTCTCCATGGCTCTGTGATGTCACCTGGAGGTGTCTCCATGACTCTGTGATGTCACCTGAAGGTCTCTTCATGTCTCTCTGATGTCACCTGAAGGTGTCTCCATGGCTCTGTGATGTCACCTGAAGGTGTCTCCATGACTCTCTGATGTCACCTGAAGGTCTCTCCATGGCTCTGTGATGTCACCTGAAGGTCTCTCCATGGCTCTGTGATGTCACCTGAAGGTCTCTCCATGGCTCTGTGATGTCACCTGGAGGTGTCTCCATGACTCTGTGATGTCACCTGAAGGTGTCTCCATGGCTCTCTGATGTCACCTGAAGGTGTCTCCATGGCTCTCTGATGTCACCTGAAGGTCTCTCCATGGCTCTGTGATGTCACCTAAAGGTGTCTCCATGACTCTGTGATGTCACCTGAAGGTCTCTCCCATGACTCTGTGATGTCACCTGAAGGTCTCTTCATGTCTCTCTGATGTCACCTGAAGGTGTCTCCATGACTCTGTGATGTCACCTGAAGGTGTCTCCATGGCTCTCTGATGTCACCTGAAGGTCTCTCCATGGCTCTGTGATGTCACCTGAAGGTGTCTCCATGTCTCTGTGATGTCACCTGAAGGTGTCTCCATGGCTCTCTGATGTCACCTGAAGGTCTCTCCATGGCTCTGTGATGTCACCTGAAGGTCTCTCCATGGCTCTGTGATGTCACCTGAAGGTGTCTCCATGACTCTGTGATGTCACCTGAAGGTCTCTCCATGGCTCTGTGATGTCACCTGAAGGTCTCTCCATGGCTCTGTGATGTCACCTGAAGGTCTCTCCCATGACTCTGCAGATCTATAGCATTCCAGCCCTCAACAATTGCTAAAAACAGGGATTAAAAACTGGTAAGACAAACTTAGGGAAGACCTGTCCCTTGCCCAAAGACAACAGTCCTAGAGATGTCCTTATTGTCTTATCAGAAAGGCCAGACTGGAGCTCTTGTCTTGTATATGAGAACCCCATGCCTGACGCCTATACTTGAAGGTGGCATTGAAATTCTCAGTCAGACACTAATTCCCTCTAGAAACCACTTTTAGACTTGGACCTCTGGATTTTTTACAGTGAAAATTATTTATATTTATTCCCCAAATTTCAGTCCATTTCCTAAATGATTTTATAGTTACCGCTACAGAAGGGAGGAATATTACAGTGGCATTGGAGAACCATTAAGGGAAAGCCCTGTCCTTGTGGTCCAAAATCACTGTATCTGATCTGAGTAAGAAGCTGACATTCCAAACTATCAAAAACATAAGCATTAATCAACTTAGGCCAATCAGCTGCCTCGATGAGGGACCACTCCTCAGAAGAGTGGATTCACCTAATAAAGCCACACTAAAGAGATGGGAGGGATCATTATCCACACCTCTGATGAAATGGTGCACTTTTCCTTCCCAGAATTCCTACCCCAGTGCAATGACCCTCAGAGTATTAACCACAGGCAAGGGTCTGCATACCTGACCTTTAAAAAACTTTGTCTCCTCTGCTGCATTCTGTTCTACCTGGTTGCTCTTACCTTGGCCACTTAGTTTTCTGTTGTTGAAGGCTGTCCCAGGGCAATCTAGGGATCAGAACACAGTCTGTGACATCATCTCCCTGAGAAATACACCCTGAATTTCAAATAACCAGTGAGTCAGTACACTTCCTTTTGGGAAATGAGTTTTCCTCGACATTTTAATTCTTTAGACCCCTGAAAGGGATGTGTAGCAATTCCCTACAGTCCTCTGAACCACAGACAGAATAAATGTCTCAAATCCCTCGGGGTAGCAGTGTGTGATGCTCCTTCCACCTGGCCCCAACATCTCCCACCCCTCCCAGAAACTCCTCCAACACAGCCGAGCTCTCAGGACAGAAGACTGGACTCCCGACCTCTGGAAGCTAAGCACTTCGGACTACAGCTCAGAGCAGTGAGCAGCCACACCCCTGGGGAAGCCCTGACAGAGGCCACCAGGCAGGTCTCCCACGTGTCCTCAGACTAGAGCAGTGAACTGCACCCTGGGCACACGAGGCCGTAAGCAGCGAGACCCAGAAAAGAGGGTGTCAGCGTGGGAAGTGAGTCAGTAAAACGGGTGTTGAGCAGAGAGGAGGAGCCATGGTGGGAGGATCGATGAGCAGCTCACTCGAGATCCTGGCACCACTCCGGGGTTTCCCTGATGTTCTTTGCTGCCTCGGTAGATCATTCAGTACCCTGTTCCTCACGGGCAGCCGCCGGCCAGTGCGTGTGAGCCACGGCCAGGCTGTACCTCCCGATCGAGCTACAATCCACCTGGACTCCCCCATCAGGCTTCTTCCCCCCAGAGCCTCTCCTCCTCCCAACCTTCCCCTTCAGCGTAAACCCACACCCTGCCTTGGAGTCTCTCTCTTGATCTTCTGAAGTCACTCTGTGCCATTCGTAACCCTCACCCACAGTCACCAGGTCCTCCCAAGGCCGGTGTGTGACGTCACTCCAGCCCACCTGCAACTCCCGCTACTAAGATAAGAGCCTTCTCAGCTTGGCCAACAGCCTCGTTCTTACTGGACCCCCACCCCCACCAGCTCCCCTGGGAACCACAGAGACACCATGACTATTCTGATTGACAGCTGAGGTCTCTAATCCTCGGGAAAGTTGAGCTAGCTCACACTCAGGTGTGGCAGCCTCAGCCTCCCGGCCAAACATGTTACAAGCACTAAGATCACCGTGCAAGTCTCTGACAGCACGGTCTGGTATCCTGAGGACTTGTTTTTCAGCCCCCACTCTGCCGTGGAAGACGCTGTCGGTATGCCTCTGCCTCTGCCTCCCCATGCCTTCTCAATCATGAAAATCGGGGGCAGTCGGTAAGTGGCAGAACAGGGGGACCAGCCGCCCCATCCCTCCCCAGCACAGGCCTTCATCCAGCTTTGTGTCATTATTTATGCCCCTCCTTGTTCTAGAGGGATCTAAGGCCGCTTTGATCAAAACTTCACAGATCCACTTCCCAGGATTCTCACATCAGCTAGGAGAGCCAGAGGCTTAAAATTATAAATTCATTCTTTCCATCAACAAATATTCATTCTGCTCTCAGCGCGCAGGGACAGGAGACCCAGAGTCTCCACACCCAAAGACTTCGCCCTGTTCGGGGAAACCCAGACCCGACTCTAGCAGGGTCAGATGGAGGCCAGAGCACCTGCTGCGTATGCAGCCTGAGAAAGATGATGTCATCCTGTCACTTGCCTGTGCCCAATCCTAGCAACATCTTTGCCAATCCTAGCAACATCTTTGCAAAGAAAGCATTCCATCCCACTTCCGACTCCTGTAGCAGTTTCTTTGTTCTGTGTTTCGTTTTGTTGTTTGTTTTTTTTTAAAAGCCATCCCACTAAGAGATGGTTGAGGAGGTTTCTACCCTCGGAGCCTGGAGACCCTGGGTGACTCAGTTTACTTCTCTGTTACTCTCTGGGGTCAGCAGAAGAAGAGTTGAAATGGTCCTTGCCTCCTGCCTCAGAGACTCTAAGTTTTTAAAGAAACCCCCTAACAGCTGGGGGCAGTCGACCAACTCAGCCTCACTTTGAGCATTTAACGACGAAGGGAAGGCCACGCGTGGAAAGGGAAGACCATGTGTTCCCACAGGGGATTTCACAGCATGGACCTGACCACACTTAGTTCCCAGTCCTCCAAGTCCACTCTCCCGCCCTTGTGACCTCTCCTCACAAAAACAAAAACAAAAAACAAGAAGAAAAAAACACAAGTCCAATTTGAGAAGTTGAGTTGCCCATATACTTTCACTGGATCACGGCCAAACTCCCGGAAGCCAGCCCCTTACAGGAAACTGGGTCCTCCACCACCTGGACCCCCACCAGAGGCTATCGGTTGTGGAGAGTGACACTCCGGCATCCTTATCACAATTTTTAAGAGTTCTCTTAGATGGTTTCCTGTCTAGGCTGTGTGACGGGTGGGGGGTAGGGGTTTGTTGTGGATGGAGGTTTCTGTCCCTCCTGGTCCCGCAGCCCTGTTTAGTCCCAAATAAACACACAGAGGCTTACAGTAATTATAAACTGTTTGGCTGGTGGCTCAGGCTTCTTATTGGCTAGCTCTCTCTTAATTGTTAAACCGTTTCTATTGATCTGTGTGTCTCCACGTGGTCTTGGCTTCCTGGAGAATTCCCAGGCAGGTGTCCTCTCTTCTGGGCAGCTACACGGCTTCTCTCCCCCACTCGCTCTCTGCATTCCTCTTCCCAGAATTCTAGTCTGGAAGCGCCACCTGTACTTCCTGCCCGGCTACTGGCCAATCAGCATTTGTTCATCAGCCATTACGGGAAACATACATTATTCACAGCATACAGAAGGACCTCCCCCACCAGGCTGACACAGAACCCATCGCTGTCCCTCTTCCTCAGCTGTGAGTCTGCGGTCGTCAACAACTCTCCCGTAAAAGAAGCTTCCTTGTCCCTTTTACACTCAGCAGGAGCACGGATCGTGGACTGCCACATGGTTTCTGGCAACAGCACAGACCACAGGCATCCACGCAGTCTGCAGCATCAGCCCGTGCCGTGGACCTCAGCATGTTCTCCAACGGCGTACAGACCACAGACATCAACACGGCCCTCTGCTGTAACACCATCACCACACACACACACACACACACACACACACACACACACACACCGTGGTGGTAGCACAAGCCAAGGATGTCAGCATGGCCTCTGGAGGCAGCACAAGTCACTGACATCATCAAGACGGCCTCCAGCAGCTACGTGACTTCAGGAAACCTTGGGAAACCTCTTGACCTTTGGACATGTCCCCTGGCTGCATCAGGACCACAGACCTCAGCACGACCCTCAGTGGCATCAGGGCCCATGGATATCAATCAACATGGCTGCAGCAGAGACCACGGACATTTCTCCAGCTCCATGTTTTTTTTGGGGGGAGGAACCCTTGGCACCCCTAAAAGGGATGCAGAAACATCTAGAAGCATGAGTCCCTAGGTCTGATCAGACCCTTTGAGGACCGTGGTGGCTGGCATACACACAGCCCTGACCATCCCTGACTTGTTTTTTGGGTTCATCAACTGATGTTCAACTTTGGGTCTGTTTGTGTTCACCAGAGCTTTGGTGATGTAAACACTGAGTATTCCACGTTCGTCTGTAAAAGGCTCTCTTGCAAGGACTTGCAACTCTGTAAGGATTTGTAAGAATTTAGTCCCATTGCTGTCTGTCCGAAGCCAGTGTTGTCAATTGTTGACACACACACACACACACACACACACACACACACACACACACACACACACACACACTGGACTGGCTGTTCAGAAATGAACAGAGCTACACCCCCCACACCGCTGGACTGGCTGAGTCAGCATGGACAGAGCCTCTCTAAGCCAACCCTCGCCATGAGGATGCACATGGCCCCAACATCACCATCCACCCGCACGGCCTCGTACTGAAGGACTTCGTGAGTCAAATGAGACCAAGGACAAAGCGCCAGCCAAGGCCAGGGGAGACACACGCCCCAGCTTGACTCGGGGGGCTGGGAACAATAGGGGTTTCAACAGCAAGAGGTCTGAGAAGGTCATTCCACATCTATCAGGGAGAGAGCAATGTGAATTTCTAAGCAGCGACATCTGGAAGATCAAAACGACCCCACTTCAATCACCAGGAAGCTCTCTGCTCGTTACATGCAATCATACTTAGTTATTAATAGACGCAGGCTCGACACCGGCATTCTGCATGCTCATCCAGAGGTGCGCAAGGGACTCTGCTGGCATTTAGTTAGTCATTTTCATCAGCATCTTCCACGGATTGACCGATCTGACCCCAAAACCTCACGCTGTCACTCATCATAAGCGAATTTATCAACATGTACGTAATCAG